CTAAAACTTCCGTTTCCTTTTTTTCTGAAAAAGTTTTCTTTTCATATTTTGTTTCAGTGAGGTCTGCATTATGTGTTTTCTTGAGAGCTTGTCAATAACCTGTTTTTATGCCTTCAGGGTGCTGTTTCTCAAATTGCAGGTTTTCGTGGGGTGCCTTGTGTTCCCCCTCTCACTTCAGTGACTAGTTGGAGGGGTTTGTGCTAATCGGGGAACAGTTAATTAGTTGTGATTGCCGGCGGTGGTTTAGCTTCCCCAGAAGGGATGTGGAGGACAGGCCATTAACTTCTGTGTTCTTGGCAGTAATTAAGACTAGTTAGCTGTTCTGTGGCTGAAGTCAAGGTACTGTAATCTTCCCCCATAAATTCACCTGCAAACCGCTTAGGAATAAATTCACAGTGTAGAAAACTGCTTCCATAATGATCATAATAGATTTATTTCTTCCAAGCTTATTCTTTAATTGCTTCATTGAGATAACTAATATAGCAATAGTTGGAAGTTGAAGCTCCACATTGATGCTGACAGAGACTTCAGCTGAAAGTTAAGTTGATCCTAATTAAAGCTTTACTTCAGGTAGAATTCTAGCTTTAACAGGAATGTTATCAAATATTGACCTTGTTGAAAGGAAGTGTAAATCTAACCTGGACTTAAAGTGAAACAGCTCCTTGGAGGCAATTAGGAGTATCAATTTGAAATGGATTTAACAGCAATTTCAGTGGAAAGACCATGGGAGAATGATGGCAATAAGAAGAAAGATGTATTTTTAAGAAATAATTATTGGAATAAGATTGTTGGAGCAGTGTTTGCTGTGGGATTTTTTGCATATGTGTGTACATATATCATGACACTCAAAGTTTCTACAAAACAAAGTCATCAAAGCCACACTGCTACAATAACCCCTTGAACAGTGGCAAATGGCCAACTTTTTTTTTTAATTGCCATTATATTGCTAGTAGAACATAATGGTTTCCTGATGTACTTAGTGCTTCAAAATGTGATACTTTTTTTTGTTTTGTTTTGAGAGGCAATTTAAGCTACTATAGACCTAAGTCACTGTTTCTAAAGATGTCTGAAATAGTGTGATTTCTCAACTCTATTGATTTTTCTTTTTATAAGTAGGAATGTTTTTTGCTTTTAGATTAACTCCACCACTGAACTTCTTACCTGAAGCTGAGTAAAGCTACTATGACTGCATATAAAGGATCATTGCATTGGTTTTCTCTGCCTGTTTAAGAGCTGGGTGTGCACAGGGGAATTCTTTTTATCTTTTACTTAAAAAATTACTAAATAGATGAAGATCTAATTATGCTTGATATACATCTTTCCCAGATCTCAAAGCTTTTGAAAGAAGACTTACTGAATACATTGCATGTTTGCAACCAGCTACCGGACGTTGGAGAAGTAAGTTTGGCATTCCAAGGAATAAATAGAAGTTTGTCTTTCAAGCTTGTTAGATTTACTGGTGTTTATCCTTTATTTAAATTTGCCCAAAGAAAAATTTTTGTTTATACTTGCTTTAAAATTTGTGGCATACATTCAAACACTGCAGCAAGTTCATACAGGATAATAAACTAATATTTTAGCCAGAGTTAGGAAAATGAGGATAAGATTGAATTGACTCAAGGCTGAATTATTCTGGAAGTATCTGAAGCATTGTGTTTGTTTCTGTTTTATTTGTTTTTTATTATGTTACTGAAGTTTTTTTTTCTTCAAGACTCGGACTTCTCAGACTGTTGCTGTAGTTCTTAAACTAAATATGATTAGGTGAGATAGTCCCATAAAATTGAAGGTGAAAAAGTTACACCAGTTTGCCATAAAGGCAGCTTTGTTATGACAGGAAGGTTTGAAGGAGGGGAGGAAGGCAAAAAATTCCACAGATATGCTGCCAGCTTTGGGATCAGTGGTCTGTGATGGAAATACACAACTTTGTTTTGAGTCTCTGCTGAAGTTTTCCTACTCGAAGAACACAGACTTTTTTTTTAGAACACATGAAATACTATCTTTTCTCCTGAGAGGTCAATTTTGAATGAAAGAACTGAAGGAATGACTACTTAGAAAGCAAAACCAAACACTATTAGCATCACCTCAAATCCCCTTGTCTCAGAGCAGTCAGATATTTATGTGTAGTTCTGCTGAGTTTGTGCACACCTACTTTAGGAATGCATTTGGCTTCCAAAACCGCTATTTTCTGTCAGTTATAATAAAAAAAATGAAAACTTCTAAACATATTTAAATGAGGTCTGCATAACTAATATTGTATTCAGTGGCTCATGTTTTTCCCCAAATTGCTTGTTTCATAATTCACATAGAAGTGGGACTTTCTATTTTAATTATAATGGGGTGTGTGACCAATGTTAACTTCCTGTTATCCTGAAAAGAAAGTATTTATGTGATGTAGAAAAGAAGCTCTGCTTTTGATTGATCTTTTTCAATTTCGTTTTAAAGAGATAACTTTGGCTCTTTCAAAGGACCAGGATGTTTCTACTTGACAGAATTTAGATTTGTTCTGTCCAGGAACTTTGTACAGAATCCTTAGGGTTTCACATATGAGAAGTGTCTTTCCATATTTTCATTTCTGCTTTCCAGTTAGGAGCTTTTCCTCCCTAAAATATATGTTTAAGAGTTGCTACTGAAAAATAGATGCATTTAAATTCGGGTGAGGTATACAGTTTGTGACTCTCATTTTTTTCTTCATCAGTGATTTTGATAGTGGTGTCAGTCTGCACAGCAACTGGGGCTTGGAACTGGTTAATAGACCCAGAGACACAAAAGGTAAGGTCAGGCTAATGCCACATGTGCTGTGTTGTTCCATAGCTTGGTGAGGCAGTCAGGTGGTATATTGAAAACTGAAAGGCTAAATGCATTCTCACATGAAACTGGGAGGTGATTTTTATTAAAGCTGTCAAGCTGTCTGGAGTTGTTGTGGAATGTGTCCTGGGACAATGCCTGCCAAAACACTGTACCCTGAATGCTTATCTAAAGAATTGTTCACAAGTACTTGGAAATGGCTGGGAGCAGTATTTTATTTTTAGTTAAGGGATCTAGGCAGTGACTTTCTGTGTGTTTTAGAAAGTATGCAGTTGAACTAACCTGATTTCTTTCCTAGGTATCATTTTTCACGTCACTTTGGAATCACCCATTTTTCACAATTAGCTGTATTACCCTAATAGGCTTGTTCTTCGCTGGAATACATAAAAGAGTGGTGGCACCATCAATGTATCCTTTGATAATGTTTGTCACGTCAAAAGTGTAGTTACTGCAGTTGTTGAAGCCTGTGCTAATAATGCTTTTTTAGTTTTGGCTTACTGTGTGTACAAGTGTTAGTTGCTTTCCTTGACACAGTCCACGCAGTATAGCAGCCCGATGCCGAACTGTTTTGGCAGAATATAATATGTCCTGTGATGATGTAAGTGTTAGTGCTTCATTGCCTAAACCTTCTTTGTTAAAAAAAAGAAATAATAATTTGTCAAAAAGACAAATAGTCTGTTTTTCTGAACAGCACTTGTATATACCTCAGCAAATTCTGTAAAACTGGAATGTGGAATACTTAGTATCATTTTGTGTGTTGTTTTAAACTCTCCTGGTAACATTGAACTGAAGCGTCATTGTTGGGTTCAGCTTTCAGGGTTTAAACTTTATTTATTTTGTTTTCTGTCTTGCAGACTGGAAAATTAATTTTGAAACCTAGGCCTCATGTTCAATAAGGGCTGTCTTCCTTCATTTTTTTCCACTGCCATGGAAACCAAAAATGACCTTTTTAAAGGTAGTATGACAGCAAAAAAATCAAATGGGACTGGTTGTCACTGCCTGGGAGTAAAAGTCTTAACACAGTTGACAGTGAAAGTGTGCAATATTACTTTCTTGAATATTTATCCAAATTCTTTGTTATCACATTATCAGTGCTTTTGCTACTTCTGATTACCTCTTTTTCAGTATTAGTGTCACTTTTTTACTTCAGCTAGAACAGAACATACAGGTGAAGTATGTTAATCGGCAATGAAGTTGAACTTGAAAATGAAACCTCATTTGTGTTACGTGTCTTTCTAAGCTATTGTAAATAGCAGATAGATGCCAATGTTCAGGAAAAAAAGTAATATCTGGTGTATGGATTTTCTTGTTCTCATGAAGAGTATTGAAAGGAACGTTTGCCATCTCCTGATGTTTTATTAGCACACTTCCTCCTTACAGCCGTCCTTGTCTCCTGGTCACTCTTTTGGAACTGGTTTAAAGGCTCGCAGGAAGACTGACTGTTTGTGCTGGAGAAAACTGGTCTCACTGTTAAAGAACTTCGCAAATATATCAAGGATTACATTTGTCAAGTTATGTATATAGTGCACCAGCCACTTTCCTTGTGGTCATACGTAGTTCCTTGTTTGATCTGGTTCAAAACACTTATTTTAAGATTTTAATTTTTTTATTGTCTTAAATATGCTTGTATCTTCCCAGTTGTAAGGTTGTACTGTATCTAAATCCACCTGACCATTCTGAGTGGATTTTTATGCTCTGATAGTCAGAATATGGAACTGATACTGCAAATGTATAACATCAGATTTGGTGAAGAAAAACTAAAGAGTGCCACAATAAAATAACAATTTGTTATTCAGAGTGTTAACAACAAGGTGTGGATGATATGTGCATAAAGTGTAACTTTTGAATAGCTAAAACTGTCAAGTTTTAAGAGTTTAAGTTGTTCAAGGTGCCTTTTTAAATGTTTTGAACTCTTTAAATTGACTCTAACTGCAAAGCTCTTGCAACTTCAGTAACCCCTGCTACAGGGTAGACTGGCTTTTAAAGGCAGCCTATTGATGTAACTATGTCAGTTGAAACTTAAGAATTGTCTTCTGGATTTTTTTTCCAGTAAGTCTTCTGCCCATCCATTATTTTTAACTGCTGTATATTTTGTAGGTAACTGTGTATAAAATAAAATCTTTGTATAAACAGGTGTTATCTTCTTTTGTACTGTGCAAATACAGATCTCCACTGAACACAGAAGAACTTCAGAACATTTATAGCTGCACTCTGTAACTTTCATACCGGACCAACATTTCCTGTATTTGATGTGGGTCTTATAATCTAAGATACTGACACCAGAGAGGAAACCCCTTCCAGGTTTCCATCCTCCAGGTCAATCCCACCTCTGTAAGTGCCCTTAGAGGAAATTGTTTCTATGATAATTTTCTTGTTTGAGCGCAAGAGTGGGGTGTCCCCACTCGCTGCCGGGGCTGGGCGGCGGGGGTCGAGCGCGGATGTCCGGCGGGGCGGGCTGCGCGGAGCGGGGCTGGGCGGCGGGGGTCGAGCGCGGATGTCCGGCGGGGCGGGCGGGGCGGCTCCGGCTCCGGCTCCGGCTCCGCCCGCGCTGCCGGGCGCGCTCCGTGCCCTCGGCGTGCGGGGGCTGCCAGGCAGCTCTTGCGGGGCTTGCGTTCGGTCTCCCCGGCCGCGGACTCCTGCGGGTGGTCAGAGCCAAGTGTTCAGGAGCCATATGTAAGGAACGAGGGATAGAAAGTGCTGAAAAAGGCTGGGTTTGGCCACTTGTAGGCCATAGTCCTGGCTTAAGTATTGCAGGTGAAAACTGATGTACGTCTCCTTTTGAGAGTGTGACTTCAGAATCAGAAGCAAAAATCCATTTTCCTTTAAGAAATTAAATCCTCTTTGCTCACTTCACCCAACCTAATTCATTGAACAGATCACTGATTAGTTATTCTTCTGGACTAACCTGTTTAGGAAAGAGAGGGGTAGAGAGAATAAATAAGGATGAGCTGAGACACCTTTTTCAATAGAGGCAGGATCTGATGTTACCACTCTTCAGTAAATGTTTACTTGCTAGGTTTTCAGCAAACTCCGTGGCCTTCCAAGAGTGCACTTCTACTGTGTTATGCAATTTGTAATTCTTGTATGTCACCTAAAACTCTGTTATAGCACGTGTCAACATTGTTTTGGGGGATGTAGGGAACACTTGTTTCTTGCTGTTATGCAGATGCTTGTAATTTAAAGGCTATAATTTTTTGTTTGTTTGTTTTTTATGTTTCTTCAGCTTTTCTTTATGGTGGCATGTGTTGTGTCTGTTATACTTCATTGATGATATTTTCCACCCCACTTCAGTCTTTTTTTTAGTACATTCTATTTGAGGTCTCACTAGTGCCAGCTAGTGTCAAATCTGTGTCTGGATTATGGCTGTCTTGTCAAATACCCAGAATAGCATTTATCTAGTCATAAAATTAACACACATAACCCAGGCAAGGGTTTATAAGCTTTCATGGAAGTTAAAAATTCCTGCTTCCATTCAGGAGCAGTAAAACAGGAGCCACAGTGCCCTGATCAATCTCTTCACTCCGTAAAACCCTCCCGCTCCCTTTTCCCTCAGTGAGATGTGCCCTGTCTGTGTCTCTGCAGCTGCAGCATCCCAGTGCTGAAGTGAGGGAGTATGCCTGTGCCAGCATCTCCAAGCTGCTGCAGCAGCAGCACGTCATCCCGGCCTTCGTGCAGCGGGACGTGGTGCGCTGCCTGGGGCCCCTGCTGATGGACCACAGCCTGGCTGTTCGCGAGACCGCTGCGGGGGCTCTCCGGTACGCGCTCCGTGGAACGGGGATCCTGGCACGGGGGAGCTGGGGGGCTGTGAGCTGAGTGCCAGCCTCTCCTGCTTTCATTTGCTCTGAGGAACTATGCCCACATCAGCTGAAGTCTGTGAGAGAGGGGCCTCTCTTGCTCTGTGGGAGTTATATGTCAGGAGCAGGCTTTGTGAAATGTATGGCTTTACGAGGAAATAGAGAGAACTTCTTTCATTTGCTCTGAGGAGCTATGCCCACATCAGCTGAAGTCTGTGAGAGAGGGGCCTCTCTTGCTCTGTGGGAGTTATATGTCAGGAGCTTTGTGAAATGTATGGCTTTACGAGGAAATAGAATTCGAGTGCAGTTTGGATGGCATTTTGTGTCGTGATGTTTTAGTACAGATAAGCTTTCTAATTATGCTTAATGAATAAATGGAAATAATTTTTTTTTTTTCTAACTCCAAAGTTATTCTCTTGTGTTAGTGAGGTAGAAGACTAAAGCTACTGTTTAAGCAAATTGAGTTTAGAACAAAAAGTACCATAACCTTTAGAGAAGAATATCAGAGGCATGGGGTTTTTGAAACATTCTTGGAAAGGATTGTATCTCATCCAAAGCATTAATTTTTTTGTTTTCCCTAGAAATCTGAGTGCTTGTGGAGGATTTGATGTCTGTGATGACATGGTGACCAAAGACATCATGACACCCCTGGTTGCACTTCTGAAAGAGGTGTGCTTGTTTTTATTTTGATTTTAAACCTGATCTAGACATTGAATTGTTCCATATAGAAAAACAGTTCTGTTTTCGTAGCTGTTATTACAATAAGGGACTCGAAAGATCTTTTAAAAGAATGTTTTAATAGGTTTAGTGATACAGAAGTTATTGCAGAGATTTCTAACCACTGGCTTCTGGCCAGCTAACTTGCATCCATGCTGAGGTTTGCTGCCTAGGATGATTTTTGACTGAAAAGGCTGGAGATTTTGGTTCTGTAATGTCAGTTAAGTTTATTCTGTCAATGAGAATCAAGGTCCTTCATTTATGTTGCAGTATTATTCTAGTGAGGTTTTTTTGCTGAGCAATTCTCTCTCAGTGGATATTTGGATGTATAGCTGGGTAGTTAGTGGAGAATAACCTGTACTGAATTTGTATTCTTTCTTTGGTCCAGGTGTTGAACTGCAATTTGGATATTGCATTGATTTCTCTTACCTGCTGTCTTTGTATGAGCAACCTTGAGCAATATCATCATTTTCTGTATGTTTCTTCCCCATTTTAAAATATGAGTAATAGCATTACTTTAGAGCATAGTAAGGTACTAGCTGAGTTAATCTTTTGATTAGAAACAACTGTTGACAACTGTATACAGACCATTAGCAAGAAACAGTATTTCAGGTTCTAAAATTCCCAAGTATTTTTTTATTAGAAAGTGATTCTAAAGACTAACTGCAAAGCAAGTACTCTAAGAGTCTTTCTACAAGTTCTCCGTACAGTTCTACAAGTTACCAAGCGTTCAAGGTTTCAGAAAGAAAGGAAACTAGTCAGGTGTTCTGGTAATAAACACTGCATTGCTCCACTCAGTGCTCATACTTTAAAGTTTTGCTTCTCTTTGTGGCTTGATTGTTTCCCAGCCCTGGTTTTCTTGTTTGGTTGTAGTGCAGCACTGGACTGGATGCTAACCAGCTCTCTCCAAAGAAATGCAGAGGGAGTAACAAAAATTATATTGAAGACATAGCCAATGAGGCTATTAATTTGCTGTGGAATATATGGTAAGTACTGTATAAACACTGGCATTTTAGCTAAATTGAATTGTTCCTGTAAAAGAGTGTGGTAATTGAGGCAGAAAAGAAATTATTGTCCAGGTGTGGGAAGATGCATTCGTTTGCTGATTCTGATTGTGTTGCTCCTACATGTACTTTGCTGTAATAATGATGAGCCCTCATCTCGTCTGTAATAAAAGTTTATCTTCTAGTATAGATTACTTTTTTAAGTGAAGGATTCTAAAAGTGCATGAAGTTGGTAATTAGTTTTAGAAGAGTAACAAATTCTTTTTTCTACTGGTTCTTCATCCTGAGTTCTGATCCTGTTTCCTGAACATGTTCTGTCATAGTCTGTTGTTTGGGTTGTGGCTTCTTGCAGGTATTTCTGTAGATCCATATCGTGATACAAGCGATGGGGAAAATGAAATTCTGATCAGTGCTTTAGGAACAGGAGGAGTTTTTATACTACTTCCTTTGCAGGTCATCCCAAAAATTAATATTAATTGTTTGGGGCAACTATCCCTTAGTTACTGAGACACTGATAAAAATTTACTTATTATGTGAGAAAATAATGTAAATTGGTCTATTAGTAGTTTATATTGGAAACACCAGGTGAAGGAAGAGAAATGGCAACACTGTTAATACAGAAATTACTGTAAACATTGAAGTGATACAAATCTGTTCCAAAAGTTCTCCTTGAACTTTGTGTTGTTTCTCTTTTTGTATGCTTTGCATACAGGATTTTGTTTAGCACTGTACAGTGCTTCAGTGAGGCTGCCCCTCTGCCTGTCTGTGTGATATGGCTGCTGGCTTGAGGCCTTATTTCTAAACAGGGATATTTATTTTTTAGGGATTGGAATCTAGAACAGTAGATAAACTCCTTGTTCAGCATCTTGCACAGAATACATGACCCTTTCTAACTGGCTCAGCAATGTTATGTGTTTTGGTGTTTTTTTTTTTTTTTTGCTTTTTAGTCAGTGCTTGAAAACAGGAAGTATGATCATTAAGTGTGATGTAAATCACTTCTCTATTTTGAACTTTGTGGTAATGAGTGTGAACTGCTTGTTTGATTGCTAAGTTTGATACTGATAAAATTAGGGCTGGCATTGATGCTGAGACATAATGTTTTCAAAATGAAAGTTTTGAAGACCTTTGTAGCTAGTTAGCTCCTGTGCTTTTTTTAGTTTGAATTAGTCTTATATCAGTTTGAAAGAGAGAGTAGCTGTGAGAACTTGAAGAAACACAAATCCCACTGTTAGATAACGAAAGTAAATGGATTTCTGAATGGTAAGGGCAGTCATTTTGTGGAGTGAGTGGGCACTGATGTGGGAGGCAGCAGCCTGCTCTGCTGGCCCTGTGTTTGTGGGTGAAGTCTCCTGTGGCTGCAGGGAGCCCTGGGCTGGCTTGCAGCCCACAGCTCTGAGCTGCCATCCACACTCCAGCAGGAGCCTGTAGTTAGGCTCCCAGATAAACTCTGAGCACTGTGAGGAACCAGCTGGCACAAGCCAGCTTTCCTCAAAAGTGTCCAGGATTTTGCAGCTTCTCTTTCAGCATCTCGTATAGAATGGATCTTAACCTCAATAATGAAGGATAGCTCTTTGACTAATGCAATTCTTAGGTAGCTTTTAAAAATGTGAGTAATAACAAGTATGGGATGCTTAGGATGTTCCTACAGTACTTTTTTTTCCCTGCAAAAATGTTTGACTGATCTTTTCCATCCATTAGTGAATGCAACAATACTGCCCTATACATATTCAATAAAGAAGGATGTCTGGAGGCTGTCTTACATTACATGAAGAAATTTACCACAAATGTGGATCTGGCTATTTCAGTAGGTAAGTGGTAAAAAGAAAAGATAAAGCTTTAAAGATAACTTTTTTTTAAATTGTATGAATATAACACTGATACTGTATTCATTGCATAATGGACCTGCTTTAGCATTGCTTAATTTTGCACTGAGTGTAAGACTGTAAATTCATTTTTGGCTAGCACAAAATAAAGAAGTTGATATCTGTTGTGCTTGTTTTCAGTCCAAAAGAGAATGGCTTATTGGTGGTTACATGGGAAGAAAAATTTTGTGGGAAGAGAGCTTTAGAGGGAGGCTGTGTTTTTCATTTTGTTTTCATGTTTTGGTAATGGAGGGTTTAATTTGTTGAGCAGAGGAGATAGTCCTAAAAAAACCCCAAACAATTCCAATCACTTTCAATCTGGTTTTATCAGTCTTATTGTTCTTACAGTTTCATAATGGTCATATAGGTATGTGTGCTTCCAGCATTTTTTTATGTTGTCCATTGTCAGTATATAATGGATAAATTTGAATTTGAGTAGCTCAAATTAATACAACCAATTCCGTGGCTGATGTGGTATCTGTTTCTGTTTCCTCATCTGTTTTATGTGTGGGTTTGCCACAGAATGTCTTTTAATCCAAAACACAGCTTGTAAAGGACAGTGTCAGACCATTACAACATGATGCTGCATGAAATTTTTTTTCTGTGTCAGCATTTCATTGCTTCAGCTTTCAGGAAGATAATGCTTTCTCATTAGCAGAGCTAAAGCTACTACTGGGTTTTTTAATTATGTTTGCTCTTGTTTGCTGCAGCAAACTGCTTGCAGGCAGTGACAGAAGATAATCCAGATCTTCTTTCTTCATTTAATGCTTCTGCACAGCAAATACTGGAAACAGTGATGTTGAGTCCAGAGAGCACCATGAAGCACATCCTTCTGAGAACGCTGATAGCAGGTACAGTGCTCAAGGGGGTTCATTGCTTTGACATGGGGAGCATGGCAGGTAAAGGAGGCTGGGAAGGACACAAGGCTTTGTCTTCTCTGCTGTGGTCTGGACATCTGATTGTTGAGGTGTACAGATGGCTGGTGAGGTTATAGCTGCCTTTTGGAACTGCAAGTAGGTATTTGCAACTAGTTTTAAAGCTGGCTTAAATGCTTGATTCTGAATTCAGCCCCTGCTCAGTGTGATAGCCAACTTTAACTGCTCATTTAGTTTTTAACAGTTAAATGAGTCAATAAGTGATACAGGAGTTGTTCTGATCTTATTAGCTGTAAGGTTTTTTTTTACCTCGGATTCTCTACCTTGATTTCTTCTTGTTACCTCAAATGTTTAACCACGATGATTTTTGATACTGGAGTGTAATAAATTAATTTTGAGACTCCTTAGAAAATTATTCTTACATGTGGATTTATCTCAGGTGTACAGTGACACCAAGGTCACTCCACATAAATATTCTGTAAATATTTACATGCTGAAATTTACTTGAGCTTAAGATGTGGGCATAGCAATTGTTACAGATTAATTACAAAATGTTATGCAAAAAAAAATCTGTAGAGAAAAGACTTGAACATTTTATAGTGAATATAAGCACTGACTATTTTAAGTAGTGGAGGCTGTGTCCTTACAAAATGGCTATTACAGAGCTGGGAATTGAGCACTTAAATAATTTGTATAATTTGGTTACCTCATATTTAGGCACTATCTGGAATATAAAGGATACCATTCCACCAGGCAGCCTGGGAAGCACAGTTAATGCAATCCTGAAGATATTTTCAGAATCCTTGGCAATAGATGCTGGTGAAACAATTATTCGTATGAATGAAGCTGAGAAAAACAGGTTAAAACTTGCAGTGGAAGCAGAAACTGAAGAAAACATGAGTGATACTACAGAAAACTGTGTTTTGAGTGAAGATGATAACATGGAAGAAATACCAAAAGGAAAACTCAGAAGAGAAAATGACGTTTCAGATTTACTTCCAGTAAGTGTGGCTGACTGGCTTTTGGACAGCTTTAGTGCAAGTGGCATTCCTTGAGAATGAAATTTGCTCTGGAACATCCAACAAAAAGATGGTAGATAACACTGCTTGGGTTTGTGTTTGGGTTTTTTTTTTGAGTTTGGGTGTAGACTGAGACAGAGGAAATGGCTGGGACTGTATTTTTAACTGACAGCTTGGATACTTTAAATAGCACTTAAATGTTGTTTTCCAAATTCAAATTTGGTTCATGTTTTTAATTTTTTAGTCTGATAAGTGGGAACTGAAAGAAGTGACAGCTTTACTGACGGCCCAGCAGACTGCTCTGGAAATCATTGTTAACATGTGCTGCAGTGAAGGTTTGTAGGAGTCTCGTTCATTGCAAGTGTTGTGGTGTGTTTTGTTTCTCAATAGGTCACCTTTAATTTGGTCTTTGCTCATCTGGGTTTCTAAGGGCAAACGCCCCTGGGCATATTGTCCCTGATATCCTCATCTGGCAGCAAAATAGGTTGTCATTTCTATTACTAATTTAATTATTTTTCCTTCGTTTAAGTGACTTATGTTGCTTAATTTTTTTTTTTTTTTGCGTGATACTGCATTTGTTTGCCAACATTTAAGAACAAACAAAAAGCTCTCATGCCAGAGAGATATTTCTTAAAGTGTTGCAGCAAAATCTTTGTTCAGTTAGAGTGAGGTCTGACTTCTTCTGATGTGTATGAATCTGATTGCAGGATGAGGGCATCAAATTTTGTAAAGCAGATGATCTTTTAGCTTTGATTTAGTTTTGATACTACAAGTGTTGCAAAATTAGGAATAGGGACAGCTTTTGCATGAAACTGTGGCAACAATGTAGATCTTGGCTTCCAGAGTTCTGCCTTTATGAGCCTTGAGGAGGAGAAAGAGAGGCTGTTATTTGGAGGAGAGTAGGATATAGATATTCTGTATCTTTTATGAACTCTGAAGCTCTGTGTTGATAGTTTTTCTTCTAATCTTCTGAAAAACAAATGAGAGATTATCAAATTCTATTTCATAAAGCCAACAAACAAACAAAACTAATCCCCTAAATCCTCCAAAACCTGAAAACTTTGACTGCTATTGTAGCTTTAGCCTGATGTAGGAGTAATTTTGTAGAAAGTAACTGAGTAATGTGTTCAGGTTCTTATAAAATCCACAGTAATACCCAGTCATTCCAAATGGTAACTTTTTTTTTGTCTTACAGCACAAGGAAATTCTGCACCTAGTGTATGAAGCTCCTTTCATAACTGCATTTCTCATCTAATGAGCTGTAATTCATAAGCTTTCCCCTTTAATTGGAAAATCTCTTGTGGATAAGCTGCATGTTCTGCCATTCACTCAGTGTAATGTAAGATTGTGTTGTATTTTGCTACAATACTTTACCCATTCGTGGGCAGGCAGTCTCTAGAAATTAGGAGGAATCCAGAGGCAGCTGTTCATTTAATTTTCAAATTATTTGAGGACTAAAATAGCTTTAGCCATGATGCTGAGTTCATGAAAACACTCAGCTTGCAACAGAGCTGAGAGCAGTACCAGGCTGGCGAGGGATGTGTTGTAGTGAGCACTGGCCAGTGCTTGGAAGGAGCAGAGTGCTCCCCTTTGAGGGGCACCTGGGCAAGAAGCAGGAGACTCCAGCACTGCTCTCCAGTCTGTAGTTCTTGGGTCACCAGTGCTAGGGAAGATGGGATTGCTGCTGGAAATGCCTCTGTTCCCAGAACATTGGAAGAAACCTGATCATAGTTATGGGCCAGTGTTCGAGGTCCCAGTTCCTGCTCTGCCCTGGTCGCTCGCTGCCGACTTATGAGGACTGCTGTCTTTGTTATTGCTGAATTGCATTGTCAGCTGGTGTTGTTATCAGTTAGTTTTCAAGGGATGTTTCTTGCTTTCTTTGTTTTCTAAAGATGCAAAAAGAATTTTTTAGAAGAGACAAGAGACTGAAAGCAGAATGTCTTGCTTTGTTTTCTTGTTTCTTGCTGCCATGGCTTGGTAAAGCATGAAATACAGCCATTTTCTCATGCAAAGGCTATTAACACCAGCAAGTTATGGCTGTAGAATTAACTGGATATTACCATAAGATGCCTGTGTGGTCAAGTTGCTTGACATATTTACAAACCTTTACATCTAATTAACCATAAACATTGTCTTCAAATAAATTCTTAAACTTAGACAGTAAAAGTGAAATGCATTCATTTGGATATTTGTTGCTGTATTTTTAGTGAATTTACCTTTTGCCACAGAAGTGCATGGCTGTTCCTGTAGTTACTACAGGACATAAATCTCATGAGAATCTGTGTTGTCAAATAAAATTACTTGGGGGTGCATACGATAGGTGGGTTTTTTTGTTTTTTTTTTTTTTTTGTCACAATAGTTAAATACCCTGACCTATGTACACAGAGCTTTCATCTGTTGGAAAGGAGGATCAGTCCAACCTGTAGACTTAGGACTTGGGTAAACATTAGTTAAAATGTAACCAGATTTAAAGAAACTTCAGCTAAATGAATGTGAACTCTGTGGATGTAGATATAAGAGTTCAAATATAAATGAGGGTGATTTTAGTTTGTGCTTGTCAGCCAAAGTCCCCCTTCAGCTGTGGACAGATTATTCACACAGTAGCCTGTTGGTAATAGAACTTGGACTCCTCTCACCATATCTCCCTTAAAGATCTGCTAGTAGAAAAAGTCTGTAAGTATGACCTAGTTCAGGTTTAAGATTATAAACCTAGTTTAATTTATGTGAAATGTGTTGCTTGAAATGACTGTCAGAGATTACTTGGCTTTTTTTGCTGTCATCATTTTGTTTTAACTGACCTTGCTGTGGAGACAATAACATCTTCATCCAGCCCAGTTACTGCCCAGACAGAGGACATCTGTCTGTGCCTTCAGTATTGCCACAGGAAACAATTGCCTTAAACTGACTGCAATTAGTAAACAAGTTAAGTTAAACTTGTGTGTTTGCATGCTTGAATCAGCCTCAGAAAATTAAGTGGTACAATCCAAGTGAAAATATTTGTAAATCTTCATGAAACGTTTCTTCTATACCTTTTTTTGATCTTTTAAAACAACACATGGTTAATATCAGAGATGAATATGCCCATGTATGAAGAACCTCGCATAAGAATATTTGTGCCTCAGTGAGTATAAAATATTTTTAATAAAATATTTAGAACTGTTGCTTAATGGCATTTGGTTTGTGAGGAGTTTGTTAGAGCCCAAGAACTTCAAGATTTGTAAACCAGGATGTTTGGAGAAGCCAGTTTCAGCTGAGAAGTAGGATAGCTGTTGCATGAGGGCTGTTACATTTACAAATCTGTCTTGTGTTCTCAGATCCCTCTGATGATGAGTGGGAAGAGCTCTCCAGCAGTGATGAGAGTGACTTGTTCATGGAAAACTCATACAACGAGGGGAGTGGGCTGCTGCTGTCACCCCTGTGCCTCTCTGATGAAGTTAACTCAGCATTTCTCAACAACCTCATTCCAAAGAAGGTGTTGTCTTCTGTATTATTTCCAATATATGTTACAGCCTTTTCCTTGTTCCTGCTTTGTATCCCAGGTTAGGCAAACAAATTATTCCCATCCACCTGGAGGAAGGGAGTATTATTTTAAGTTTGGCCTCACTTTTTTTGCCTAGAGGTGGTGCATCATTGCAAATAAGTAATTTGGTCATGTAAATGAGAATAGAAATCAGAAATCTGGTAGGTCTTTTTAAAATATTTTCCCCCCCAAATACAAAGGTTGTTATTCCTCGATTTGGACATGAAAAAGATTACCCACAGAAAGAAAGGAAACTTAGATGAAGTGTGACAGCCAGATTTCTGTATTAGCTAAATGAGGTGGAAGTAACATTAATGAATAGCAACAGTCAGCACTGAAAAAGTGCAAGTTCCTCTCCCCCTGTTTTATACAAAATGTCTGAAATACAGTTTTGGCACGGACAGGAAATCAGATGTTTTTGTTTCAGGGTTGTTTTGCTCATTTTTATTTGGGGTTGTAACAGTGAAGTTTATTATTTGAATCGGTTACTGTGTTAGCTCAGCAGCATTGTAGAATTCTGAGCTAAGACATCAAGGTGTGAGGTGAAAACTTGGAAGGCTTTTTGTACTTAATAGCCAGAGTTTCATGGCAAGGCCTTCCAGACTTGCAGCTATCTGAAAATCCTGTAGCACAATCTATAAGAAGAAAGATCTAAGAAAGAATAGCAGAGACCTAGAAAATCACCTGTTGTTAGTACAGTTGAACACAAAATACTTCATGCTAAACCCAGTGTATAATTATATCATTTAAGTGATAGAGGAAAATTCTGGCATTTTTAGCAGGCAAGATATTTGCTATCTGGAAAACCTTGAAATATGTCATTTGAACTATCTGTTTGACGTTAAGATAACGTCACTCTTCCCTCTGAACACACTATAACAAAAAAAAGGAGAAAAGGACTTTATTGATAAACCTTTCTTTTTCCCCTCCACAGATTCTGGAAAAAACTGCTTTTCCGAACAGTGTTGCTCTAGACATCTGTATGCACAATCCGTCTTGGAAGCCATTAATTAAAAAGTAGGCATTTCATTGTCTCTCTTGCTATTTTTCCTGTATATTCATTTGTTTTAAACCTCTTAGAAGGATTTTTCATCTTTGAGCTGCTCTTAAGTTCTGGAAACTGGCAGATCTGATATATGATATTGAATAAAGAGATACAAATGTTTTTGTGAACTGCATACTAGATCACAGCCTTATTCAATTCAAGATTCTTCTTTATATTTCAACAGGTGTGTTCAAAAATACCTGCTCAGTGTGTTTTTTGTTTGTTTCAGACTGAATGCAGTGCAGTGTAGAGCTTTAACGTGTCTTCAGAGCATTTTGTTGGTGTCAGATGTGGATTGTCTTGGGGGAGCTTCAGCACTTCAGTCCCTTGCACAGCATCTCTCACAGCTGATCTTTTCTAAAACAGGTAAGATGATTAGTAAAGGGGAATTGCTGGCCCCCTTTGCTGATCATCTAGATATAAGATAGCCATGGATGTTATGTTCCAGTGCTGTTTATTACTAACTTTATCCCTCTGGTCCTTCAAGATCAGGATACTGAATGTTGGCAATGTACTGACATGACAGTGTATCCTGTTAAGATATGTTTATCCAAACTGCACCTCCAGCAAGTCTGCTCGTAGTGCAAGAATCTGCTTCATGTTTGGGCCTACACAGAAAGCCCCTGAGGGGATTAATACTGCCTTGTTGGGAGACCAGAACTGTTTGCTTGATTGTATTTGTGGTAATAACAGTTTTTCAGCAATCAGACAGGATGAAGAAGATGGGACATTTTCTTTTTAAATGACCTAACTAGCCTAAGGAGATGTGAAAACAAAACATGTCTAGCACAGTGTTTCACATCATTTTTCCTAGTAGTCTTACCACATTATGGCAAAAATTGGTACAAAAATCTCCATGTAATGTTCATGCTTATTACATTTGAAAAGAGAGCAGCCACCTTGTCCCCAGGACGTGTTTTATGCTTATGATGGCTTATCTTTATTGGAATTATACTTGTAGTGAGAAAGTATGCAAAGTTGTTACAACTAAGTGTTAAAGCTACTCAGCTTCCTGTTCTGGTTGTGGTTCAATTTCAACAGAGAAGGTAATAAATTTAATTCTTCTAAAAATACTATTTTAGAAAAAATATATATATGTGTGAGTGTATGTATATATATGTATATATATTTGTATATATGTGTGTATATATGTATGTATTAGATCTGTATTTGGACAGTGGAGTGGGCTGCCCAGGGAGGCTGTGGAGTCACCATCCCTGGAGATGTTTAAGGACAGACTGGACGTGGCACTCAGTGCCAGGGTCTGGCTGACATGGCAGTGATCAGTCACAGGTTGGACTGATCTCAGAGGTCTTTCCCAGCCTCACAGATCCTGTGATAAACACTAGAATGTTTTCACTGTAGTTCCTCCAGGGTGCATTATTTCATAGACACACTGTGAAGGTCTCCCCATACATCTGCTAGTACAGTGTTACTGGATCATGGCTACAGCAGGTAGCATTCCCAGCTGCTCTCTGGGATCCCTGTACATGAGAGCAGCATCATTTCCATAATCCTGGTGGATCATTTATGCTATGACCTCTCTTTTACTGACATGAGAGAAGCTGAACTGAGATTGGAAAAAAAAAAGTTTAAGAAAAGCCCACCTGTTTCCAAACTGAGGATGTGGGTCCCTGACAGGCTGTATCCTTCAGACTGTTCTGATAATCTATTTTTAAGGTCAGTGGTGATGGGTATTAAAAAAATAAGAGAGATTCTTAGAGCCTGGAAAAGCTGCCAATTCTCCAAACTGTCAGAAAACATTTTCCCTAAGACAGTTCTGTTAAGTCTGGCATATGTGTGTGTGGCTTTGTCATTTCTCATCTTTTAGAAGCTCGAGAAGTTTCGTTTCCTTCCCTTCCTTCAAGTGTCTCCATTTGTAGCCATAGATGGAGCTTATGTAGTGCTCTGCTGTGGTGTATAAAATGACACTGCATTAGTGCTTGAAAATGCATCTGCCTGCAAAACACACTTTTTTCTCAGTGTCTTTAAAGACGTGATTAGTCTATGGGAGCATTATTACTGAGTGCAGTGTGTGGAAAACTAAAATGCAGAAATGAAAATATCTATGAAAACATATCCAAGGAAGTTCACATAAAATATGTCTCATGCTTGAAGAGAGAACTTCCAATATTTTGGGTCTACATCTTATGCTTTGTAATATAAAGCTCTCAGATGAAGCTGGAGAAGTTGCTATCTGAAGACAGCTAAGGATGCTAAAATTAATTAATTGGCACAAGCCCGTTTTTGCATGTTTAAATGCTGTGTAATGAAAACTGCCAGATAGAGCTGATAACATACCAACATGTGGTTAGAAGGAATTCTGTGGTTTACAGAGTTAAAGAGAGGCATAAAGATCTGATTGTTTACATGAGAAGGGAGGAGATGCACATAAATCAAGAAGTTCTGCATCTGGAGTGGTGCAGAAAATAAACCCATTAGAGGAAAATGAAAAGCCTCAAGAAATGCAGAACACAGATTGAAGGTGATGGCTGCTACTGATGAGTTTGTAGTTAAACAAGAATAATGCAGTGTTTGAGTCATACATTCCTGGAATGTTATTAAACCACCGGAAAACATGCTCTTTATATGAATTGGAAAGAGTCCAGTGTTCTGGGTGTCTGAAAAGCTTGCTTAAGGAGGCAGAAGAAAGGAGGTGAAGGATGCAGTCAGCTTCTGCAGTTTTCTCAGTTCCTGTGTTAGGGCCTCCATGTGATACCAGTTCTCAGCTGCTGTTCTGGTGACATTGGCTGGCACTGTCCCTTAGGTCTCAACCAGGGATGTGCTGGAAAGGAGGCCCAGCTGTGTCCTAACTTCCAGATGCAGTCAATGCTGAATTCAAAAAAATCACTATGGTTACAACCTACAGAGACCAGTCTCTGAAAATCTAGCTTTTCCTGTTGTGGTAGTACCTGGAGGAACAATTAAGAGATTAAGGAATTTGTATTTCTTTGTTTCCTGTGTCCCTCATGTTTCTGTTTAACTTTTGGCTCTGGATTCTATTCTTTGACAGAATTCCCTACAGACACAGAATTCCTGGAAGCTGTAACCAGTGCTTTGAGGGCTCTTCTACAAACAATGGCATCAAAGAACATCTCCCAGGTAAAAGCTTTCAAACTCAAATGCTCTGGTAGGTTCAAATTCCTGTGAGATTGGGCTGGAAAGTTTTTGGAACAAAACAATATAAATTTAGTTCAAAATTTCAGCAGTTGTGAACACTGGAAGAACAATATAAATTTAGTTCAAAATTTCAGCAGCTGTGAACACTGGAAGAACAGATTAATAGCATTAACCGTATTTTTCATGGACCTTACAGGAATATTTTTTTATGTATCTCCTCCTCAACGTGTAAACAGATAAAAGGTATTTCAAAACCAGAATAGCAATAAGCCACAGATATCTTTAGAAGATAGTTATAATGAAAAATATATAGAAAATTAGCACCTAGAAATCTGTCTTCTTTAATTCCTGATGTCACCTAGCTGGTGGTCTTTGAATCTTGGTTGGATATGAATTAGTGAGGTGACTACAGGAATGAAACATAATGATTTGGGTATAGAAGACACAAGACTAGATAGTCTGCTAATCCTTTCTGGCCTTAAACTGAAAACTGAGCTTTTATACTCTAAGTTGTAATGAGTTGGAAGCAGCTGTTGAGCTAGATAAATTTGTGAAAATCTCAGAACTTTTCCTTCAACTTCATGTCAGCCTTGGATATGTTCTGGAAGAACCAAGCTGAGAGGGAATTGAAATTTCTTATTACTTGCATTTTCATAATCTAGGACTCTGTGAAGAATTTGCCTGTGTTCTGTAAAAGTACAGTGTCTAAATGTCATATTTCAAAATTTCCATGAAAATGTAACCATGTGTGTCTTCCTTCTTTCCCTCCTTTCCCCTTGCTGACCAGTGTATGACTCCCGAGCAGCTATTGGCTTTATGTGAGGCTGGTATTCAAAGCAGCAATGCCAGTGTTAGAGTGAATGTGGTGAGCATCCTTGGAATTTCTGGCAGTGTCCTGGCAAAAGGACAAGATACAGCTGAAACACTGAAGGTGAAAAAGCAAACTTTGCATTGCAAGCTTAAAAGAATTTTGATGTTTCTTTCAATTTTCTTTAACGTTGCTGGAAAAATCAATTCTTCTTTGTTATTGCAGATGATTGGAAAATTTCTTCTTGAGGTTGCTATGAAGGAATCTTCTCTTGTGGTAGCAGGGGAAGCCTTGGATGCACTTTTTGATGTATTTGCAGATGGTGAAGAAGCAGAAAGGGCAGCGTTACAGATCAGGTTGCTTCCAACACTGAAGGAATTTCAGCCAGTGTTCAGAATGAGGGTAGGCATCAAGGGCAGCCTGCTGCTCAGGGTCTCAGCACACAAAGTGGGTTAAAGGTTGAGTTTTGGGCTCCTAGAAGGTATACTTAATTTATAAGGTGACAGAAAAAAAGCATTTGATTTTACGATACTCCACTTTAGAGGAAAGCAAGTACCTTAAAATTCATGGATGTGTCAAGGTAACAGTGCAGCACCTGAATTGCAACATCTGCATTACACCATCAGTATTACTGATGTCCAAATCACTGTATTGTTCTGAAACAGTTGTACAAAAAATCCTGCAGATGTCTCTGGAGGTGGAAGAAAAGTCCTTTCTGAAGTTACATTGATATCTTTGGTTTTTAACTTGCAGTAGCAGTTGGATGTTTTTGTTCCATTCTTGGTTAATTAAAACAGTTAATGTATCCTGTATTTTCAAGAATAACAAGGCTGGCATTTTAAATTGTAATTTTAGGTACATCCTAGACTTAAACAGAGAATGACCTTGCACATGATGTTTCTTTGGTCAGATGCAGCCTGAGGAGTGACTTCTGTAGCCCAAAAGCCAAGCACTGTCCACACAAAGTACATACCTGATGGTGCCTCACTTGTTAGGTTAAATGTGCAAGGTTTTCCATCTAAAAAGCCATCTAAAAGAAAAGAAGTGTATGTCTCAGATTTTGGGATGAAATAATGTGCCATTAGGCTAGTTTTAGACAGCAGTGCATTATAGTAAATTGACTTGCAGAAATAATTGCAGAAATAATCACATGTGCACATGGGAACCCCTTGGAGTTCTCATAGAACACCACTGTGCAGAATTACAGTGAACTTGAGGTGATCTGGTAGGAGAAACTTCTCCAGGAGTAAACCATGTGTTCTTTTGGTTTTACAGATGCGAAAAGAAGGCAAAGGACAGTATAGTACAGATCAACTGTGTGTTCTTGACAATGTGAAGATGAATTTGAGAAGATTCATTGCATATCAGGAGACACTAGGGAAAACCCCAACTTGAAACATCGAGGAACTTTTAAGGTTTTTCTTACTGAGTAATGTTTTAAAAAAATATAACTCTTTTCAACTTCCAACCTTCACTGAGCAGAGCAGTTTTGCTTTGATGTTAATGCTACATTTTATAACGTTCAGTATTTTTATACTTTTGGGTTGCTGCAATATGAAGAACATACCAGCATAAAAAACCCTGTAGCATACCCTGAGATTGCTGGAGTGGTAAGAAGGTGCTCTTCAGGTCCTGAGGTCTCTACATAGCACCACTGTCATTGCCTGGATGTCTTCATGTACCCTGGCAGAAAACTACACTTGTGTGAAAAAGTAATTCTGAAAATATTCTTGGTCATGTGACAGATTGGAAAAAAAAAAAAAGTGAAAGCTCAAGGTCTGTTTCAGGGAATGGAGCAGTGGGAGAATGGTCATATTTGCTGTTTGCTCTTACCTGTTCCTAGAATTGCACAGGCACTTATGGCAGACTTCCCAAAAGAAGTGTGTGACAGATGTGTAGATTCCAGTCAACACTTGGATCTGTTATTTCATGAGGTTCATGAGGAGAAATTTTTCAGATTCATTTATGATAAATTCAGTATGATGGCTTTTTGCTGTGAAAATCAGTGTAAGCAGATCCTACACTTAGACACAGCACCCTGTCTTTATTTTGATAGGTATTTCTGAAAATGAAGTCTCCTATTTTACAGTCTTCCTTGTAATTCTACATCAGCACAAGTTTGAATTCTGGGAAGTAGTAAACATAACACAAAGTATTTTTTATACTGAGGTATTACCCGAAGTAAATTTATTTTTACTTTTTTGCAAATATTTGTGATGGAGATTTTTAAGCTGTAAAATACAGAACATATTTTTTAAAAATATCATTGCTTTATGCAAATTGTATGATATTTTCCATATATCAAAAGCTTTGGTTTTGTTTCTGTGAATGAGATCCTCTCATACACATTTTTCAAGAAAAAACCCCACAACTAAACACAAAAGCATTTTTGCTGGTTTTTGAAATGGGAGATTTTTTTCTCCTCTCTCAATGTGCTGCCTTAGCTCAGACATCCAGTTTTTGGCAAAATTTTTCTCATGTTAAAAGCATGCAACTTAAAAAGACCAAATTTGCTTGGTTTGTTAGATTTCAGTCTCTAAGATGGAAAAGTAGACTTGAGAACTGATGGGTAACTTGCAAATGACTGACTTTCTGCAGCCCTGACAGGGTATTTTGTCAGTTGCAAGAGGAAGGAAAGATGAGTTTAAGCAGCTGTACTGCCTGGAAGTGCTGTTACTGCTGTCAGAAATGTGTGATGTGATGCCTGCCACTCAAAGGAGTGAGAGGGTGGGACTGGGAGGGCTCGAGGGCCATTGAGGCTGGACTGGAGAAAGCCAGAATCAAAGAGCATGGGGCAGTTGAAAGGTTATCCAGGATTTGGCAAGGCAGGCAGTGAAGAGGTCTGCAGTGTAACAGCTGAGGAAAGGTGGATTATGGCATAATACCCTACAGTGTGTGGATTTTAATCCTGGTGTTAGTTATACTTGCTGTACACTGAGGATAGTGTACTGTTAGCCTGATGAAAGGTATTAGTATTTGTTTGGAGCACTTGAAGGACTTCCATGTGGAAAGTTCTCTCATTTTCTGGGTGCTGCATTGAATTGCAGATGTTCTAGATTGGAAGGGATCTCTGGAGGTGTCTTGGTCTAGTCCTCTGATCAAAGCAGGGCTGACTTGGGAGACAGGTTGTACTAGGCCTTGAACATCTCCCAGAAAGGAAATTCTACAACTCTGGACAGCCTTTTCCAGAGCTTGACCTCTCTCACTGGAAACACATTTTTTTCCCTTTTTCCCTTGTGCCTTGTAGGACTTTCCCCTGCTGCAAAATGTGCCTCTTGTCCTTTGACTGCACACGACCAAGAAGAGCCTGGCTCCATCTCCTAACCCCCACTTGGCAGCTGAAAACAGCAATTGTATTTCCCTCTTCTCCAAGCCAAATAAAGCCAGCTCTCCCAGCTGTTCCTTGTACGCCCTCTCACCCTCCAACCATCTTAGTGGCCTTCTGCTTGACCTGCTCTACTGTGTCTTGTACTGAGGGCCCAAAACTGGACACACTACTCCAGATGTGATCTCCTAGGTGCTGAATAGAGGCAAGTAATTGGTTTTCTTGTCCTGCTGGCCATGCTTCTGCCAGCACAGCCTGTTATTTGTTAGCTGTTGTCACTGTGAGGGTGCCCTGCTGGCTTCAGCTTACTGTCCACCAGGACACTTTGATCCTTGTGTCCAAAGCTGTCCTTTGGTCATTCAGTTAAGAGCACTGTCCCAAATGTAGGAATTTGCATTTTACAAGTGTAGCAGCCAGAATCTTTCCTGGGGACCATTAGAAAACCAAAGTATGTTATTTTTTGTTTTGGGTTTTTCTTTTAGGTTGATAATGACAAGAAACATTTAATCTACAAATACAAATCTGGCAGTTGAAGATAAATATACAGAAGACAGAAACATGGTTTTCTTAATATAATCAGTTAGACCCTGTTTTTTTAACTTCAAGTGAAAAAACAGACTGACATTTAGATCTTAAACTATTCTGGCAATAGGAAGGCACAGATTATTTTTTTGCTATGCACTGATCAGCTGAATGTCTTGAAAAAATATTTTCACAATGAGATTGGTGCATAGTACAAACCATATCACTTAAAGATGCAATATTAATGCATCTATGGAAGACAAAGCAAGTTATGAGTGATTTAAAGAAGCATAAAATCAGGGACTAAAACCAGGTGAGATACACTGACACAAAAGAGCTAAGGTACAAGACTGGGGCTACAAAAGCTGTTCTAACTGACAGGAAGGAAAAATCTACTAAGGAAAATCAGGGTGTACAAGACTGGGGCTACAAAAGCTGTTCTAACTGACACTACTAAGGAAAATCAAGGCGGCAGCAGCAGAAGTGATGATAATGTGAAAATTAACTGTTTTGGGGGTCTTTGAACTGGTTTATTTCATAGGTCTAGGGTAAGCTTCAGACAAAGACAAGATCCTTTACAGCCTACAAAGGGGAAGACGGATCTTGATCTTTCTGATGGCAGAAATTGGACTGATGTAAACTGTGTGTAGCATAAGTAAATAGATACTAAATATATGTAAGTGATCTTCATCAGTTAATCTAATCACACAGATAAGACTGCTATCAAAACAGGTATCTGAATTGGGTTGCTTATTCTGGTCCCTAAGGCATCATCTGTGCTTCAGTTAAAAACCACAGTCCTTGGAAAGTATGGATTGCTGCTCTGCTTGTGTCCCTGCCTGATGCTGAGCACAGCAAACTGGCTCTGACTGAGCTGTAATACCAAAATAGGTGCTGAATTTACCTTGCTCTGCCATCAGGTAGAGTGTGAAGGAGGCTGTGGGTCCCCTGCCCTGTTCAGGAGCAGCAGGATCACTGACAGTTTTTGCTGCCTGCAAAATGTCGAATTCCCAGCCGTGGAAATAAGGAATTATCACTTGTGTGGTTTAATTCTTGCTCTCTATGAAAAGAAACAAGTGGCAAGATTTAAATATGTATTTGCTGTTTATACATCATGCCTTGACATTCAGAAGCAGAAGATGGCTGTATACCACAGTCAAGTCAATAGTTCAACTTTTTGGGGGTTATGGTGTTTGTTGAAGGTAATTTTTTTGCACAGTATGGGCTTTTTTTTTTTCTGAAGATTGCCTTCCTAGAGGAATACGAATAACTTCAGCCATTAGTACTTGGCTTGGTTTGATGTTTGCATTTTGAGAGACAATTACGAAAAAAAAAATGAGAGCGCAGTAAAATTACAAAATGAGAACTCCGTAGGAGAACGAATAAAATTAGTTTGCGTCTTTTTAAGTATTATAAATTAAATTAATATCTTCTGGAATATTAACATAAAACAACCAACCAAAAATGCCCATAAACTCAAGTTCTGTTTCCTTAGTGAGGGATTTTCAATAAAAACATTCCTGAGGATTGGATGGAAATATCTAGCCTTGCATTTACTGTTGCAAATTCCATTTCAGGCAATGGTAGTGGTGATTGAAAATAATGTAATTGTTCCTTTCTGGCACAAGTGACTTGAGCAAACAATCTATATATTGTTTGTTCTGGACAAGCTGTTAAGATATATAACTTTAGAATAATTGGCAAAATCTGAGTCTCAGACAGCAAATGAAGGAGCTTGAAGTTTTTCCACCAGGGCTGACACATGGTGAGCCTTTCTGTTTGAAGAAGCTTTTATTTGAGTGGTGGGGGGGTTTTCGGTCTAATTTTCAGATATTTTAAAACGGTTAATTTTTGTACCTTCTGGGAAAAAATTGAAGGCATTTAAGTAAATTCACTTAAATTTCATTTTGTTTCTGTATAATTTCTGTAAGTTTCTTCTCTCTGCTCTGTGAGAGGCATCAAACATACAGACATAACTCAGTGACCACATAAAGCCTAATTTGAGGCTTGCACACATGAGGATATAGGAACTTGCTTTTTTCTTTTGAATGTGGGTGCCAGGAGCTCCTGGCATTACTGTTACATTATGGATTTTAATCAAACTATTTGGGAGCTGAAGTCAGATCCCAGGGTAATAATCTGTTTGCTGTTGGGTTGTGGCTGCTGTGTGTTCTCAGCACAGTGAGGGTCCTGATGCAGCCCTGGTGTTATGAGGTGCTCAAATAAATCCCTGCACCATGCTGAAAGATGTCTTGGGCTTTCAGTAAAGCTTCTCCTGGTTTTGTGTTCCTGCTATGATAAAAATCCCATTTGTCCTCTGACATGAATTTTTTTCAACTTTTAAGGAATATTACATTAGCCTCTTCCCTCCTCTGCCCCTTCAAATGGAGAGTGAAAAGCACTTCCAAAACTTCATGGAAGAATGGCTGATTCAGCTAGTAAATGCATGATGTTTCCAGATAACCTTCCCTGGGAAGTTCCCTTTTCAGTAAATAAAAGTGTTAAAATTCAAAGCAGTGATAAAAAAAAAACCCAATTTGACCATATTAAAGAGTGGGTTTTGTTTTTTATGCCCCCCATGGCATACTTGCTAATCTAAAGCATTTGTGTTACAATACCACCTCTATTGTATCTTGGCTGTATTTGCTTGGGACTATGGTTATCACTGAGGAATCCTGTAAATTAATAAACCTCAGTCCTGTAACAAAACTTGTTGACATTTATGTGCTGTGAGTGTAGACTAAATCACAGATTTTTTTTCAGAATTAGTTTTATTAAAAAAGGAAAACAAATAGTTTATTTTTCCTGTTGCTGTTACCTTTTTAAGGGTAATGTAAAATCATTTATTTGACTTAAAGTTTTCTTCATTGCATTTTTAAAAAAGTTTGTTAATTGAAACTTTTTTTATTTGAATTTTTGATGTGCAGGGAATATTGTTTAGACTCTTCTTGTTACCTTTTCCTGTTACACGTATAATTTTCAGAATAACTGAAGAATATGGGGTTTGGAAAATAAAGTTATTCATAGTGGTTATTTCCCAATTCTCCATTTGGCTTTCACGAGTAGTTTTAGGTGCAGGTTTTCAAAGCAATTAACTTTGTCAACTCGACCCCAGATTTCACCCTCTTGCTGTGGTTCATTTTCTCTTGGGCAATACAGATCAGACATACAGTGACATAACAGAGGAGTGCTGAGGACAGTATGTTTTGCTCTGGGATGGTGGAGAGAAGCCAGAACTTCAGACTTTGGTTGTCACCAGGAAATGGTGCTAAGTCTTCTTTGCAAAATGTTCACTTCACAGAATGCTTGAAATTGGAATGCGACTTTTTAATTCTAAACCCTCCACCTCCAGCTTCCTAAAGGGAAATCATCTGCCATGCAATTCTGCAAGTGGGGGAAGCACCAGGCCCTCCGTGTAAAACGCTGGAAACTTTGTAGCTGATATTAAAGATGTTTTAAGGCTGTAGTATGAAAACACTAAAAATAAAACCGAATCTGACAAGAACTGGTACTACTCACTGTTGCTGTTTGGGGTATTGTGTATGTGATGTATTTTTCCGTCTACAAAAAAGGCTGCACCTCGAGTGCCTTTGCCCCTCCTCTGGTGCGCAGTGAAAGGCAGAAGACCCTGAACTACCCCTACGCGTCCACACGAGAGTTTTGGGATGGGGTGGGCAGCGGCAGCCGTCCGTGTGCCGACAGGGCAGCGCTGCTCGGGGCCTGCCCGCACCGCTCCGTGTGCCCGAGCCGAGCCCGGCGCGCTGGCAGCGGCGGGCCCGGAGCCTCGAGCGAGCGCTCGGCCCTCGGAGCGCGGCCGCTGCGCCGGCGGCTCTCCCGGCCCGGCCCCGCCTCGCCGCGCTCGCCAGGAGGGGCGGGGGCTGTGGAGCGACGGCGGCAGCAGCGAGCAGGCAGGCGCGGAGCTGCCCTTCCATAGGAGCCGCCATTAGCGCTGGGACCCGCTGACAGGGTCTCGGCGGCGGCGGCCGGCGCGGCGCGGGGAGCGGATCAGCCGGGGTGGGTCCCCGTTTGATGGATCCCCGGATAGCCTGGTTCCAGCCAGAGCAGCTCGGCCCCTCGAACCGCCTGTGGATGCAGATCTGGGAGACCACGCAGGGGGTCCGCAACCTCTACTTCCAGCAGCAGCAGCAGCAGCAGGAGCAGCAGCAGCAACAGCAGCAGCAGCAGCAGCAGCAGAGCGCCCCCGCCGCGGCCGGCCCGGCCTCCCCGCCCGGCATGTACCGCGCCCCCCGCGCCGACCCCCCGCCCGACTTCCTGCCGCTCGAGCGCCGCCGCCAGCAACAAGAGGAAGCGCGACAACAAGGCCAGCACCTTCGGGCTCAACTACAGCCTGCTGCTGGGCCGCGCCCCCGCCCCGGCCGACGAGCCGGCCGCCCGCGCCCAGCCCGGCCTGGCCGAGCCGCTCTACACCGGCACCCCCTGGAAGAAGAGGAACTACAGCCAGGGAGTCGTGGGGTGAGCGTCCGCGGGGCGGGCGAGGGGGGCGCCGGACCCGGCCGCGCTCGGCCTCCGGAGAAGGAGGAGGAGGAGGCGGGGGCCGAGGTCCTTCCCCGCCCCGGGGCCGCACGCCGGGGCCGGGCAGCGGCCGCCGAGGGGCCGCTGGGCGCCCAGCGTCCCGCCCGCCGGGGCGGCGGCTCCGCGGGGCCGGGGCCGCACGCGTGCGGCGGCGGTGCCCGTGTGCATGCTGATGGGGCGGGCACGCCTATCCGCAGGGACCGGGGCCCCGCCGGCCCTCCGCTGTCACCGCCCGTGCACGTGTTACACGCTGCCGGCCGCTGCCGCCGGGCTCCTCGGACACGGCGCTCCGCTGGCAGCGCCGCTTCGCGCTGTGCTCGCTGTTGTCGCTGCTGTAGCGCCGGGTGCTGCCCTCGCTGCTCACGCACGTGCGGCGGGGACAGGGCACAAGCACAGGGCCGGGGACAGGCACAGGACCGGGGGACGGGGACAGGGCCGGGGACAGGCACAGGGCCGGGGACAGGCACAGGGCCGGGGGACAGGCACAGGGCCGGGGGACAGGCACAGGGCCGGGGACAGGCACAGGGCTGGGACAGGGCACAGGGCTGGGGCACAGGCACAGGGCTGGGACAGGGCACAGGGCTGGGGACAGGGCACAGGGCTGGGGCACAGGCACAGGGTTGGGAACAGGCACAGGGCCGGGGGACAGGCACAGGGCCGGCACGCCTGCCCTCTGCAGCGCTGTCAAGCTCACCTCGAACCCTTTGTGCTGCCTGCAGAACAAATGCGTGGTAGGGACTAGAACTTAAAAAAAAAAACAATAATCATCTGCTGGTGACAAAAGAAAGAGCACAGACTGGGTAATTTCCCGGGGAGTGTGTTTTCTGAGACCTGACTGAGAAGGTGTGCATGCAGGCAGGCACCTGCTCTCAGGAATAAACTTCCACGCATGTATAGTGTGAAGTGGTTTTTATTGTGGGGTTATTAATGGTTGTCATGGATCTCTGACTATGGAATGCATATGCTGATCTGAATATTTTGTCATTAGTGTTTTTGTGTTAGCTTAGATCTCATCACTTGGCATTGCACGGGCCCACAGAGATGGAGGGCAGGCCATCACCTATCTTCTGTTTACCTGAAAACTGGTTTGAGCCCTCCCCTTTTTTTGAACACATTGATGGCTTTTGATATGGGCAATGCCCTGGATAAAGGCCATGTGGTCTCTGGATTTTAATTTTTTTGTAAAGTTCATGCTTTTCAAAACATAACCTTTGCCTTGAACCCTTCAGGGTCTAGATGACGGAGGTGTATGGTAAGAGTTGAAGGCCTGGCAGAACTCATTTTAGAAATCAGTAGTGATTTAGTTGCATGAGTTTTTGTGTGCTCAGCTTGTACCTAAGGGTCCTTCAGTCCCCGCACACAGGAAAGCAACGGCCTCTTTGCCATCCAAAATTGCTGTTCTGTAAGATTTGTCAAAATTCAAATTCAGTATTCAAATTTGCTGATCGTTTTGGAAGTCTAGTTATTACCACCTCTGGCTACCTGTTTCCTTGCCAGCTCCTGTGTTACCTTTACTGCTGGGGTTATAATAATTTATAAAATGACATGGCAGAAGTGTACTATTTCAAGTGTTTTAGTCACTGTACCTTGGAACTTTCTGCAACTTTCTTCACACGATTTAAAAGTAATGTGTGTAGAACATACTATGCACTGAATTTTTTAAGTTAGTTTTTGGACTCTGGTTGTATTCTGTCTCGTAACTTATTTACTTGGAGGCTGAGGAACATTTTTAGAAGTGCTTTGCTCTCTCTCTCTGTCTTGTAAATTTGTAATTTTTTTTTCTGTATTGAAGATACAAGGTGGAAAAGGGCAAGTTTCAACATGAGAGTAATAGTAATAATAATGGGGTGAAAAAAGAGCAAGCTTCAGCAAGAGATTAATCACAATAATAACAACAACAACTTTGCCTAAGTATTCAAAGTGTTGCTAGAATTAAATTTTGGTGGAATCGGTTTCAAACTCCAAGTGGCAGGCCCTTGTGGAGTTTTTTTTAAGCAGTATCAAGACATACTCAGATATCTTAGTCTGCACGTGTATTGACTGTCTAGTTTGTGGCATATATTTACATGATGCTGAGCTTCTGTTTCAGCTATTTCCTTTATTCAAAGCAGAGCAAGTAGAGTGTCCCTCAAATACACCCCTACATTGCTTTTCCTAAATTACTGAAGTTTCCTTTTTGAAAAGCCATAAAAAGTTTTAGAGCCTGTTGGCTAACAATCTTGAATGAAAAATTGTGGAAATAATTTCTAAAAGGAGCAGAAGCTTCCTAGGAAAGCCTGAACAGTGCCTAGGTCCTGTGAAGGTTGCAGTGTGACCGAGTGGCTGCTGCCAAGGCTGGGTGAAGCCTCCTGGACCTGTGGTGTGACCTGGGGTGCTGCCTTCTCTCCCCACTGCAGGCTTCTCTTAACAACTGTCTGTTCTAAGGCATCTGTCTGCATCTTCAGACACTGGGCAGTAAGGATGGATAGAGAGGTTTGTAACCTAGCAAATGAGGTTGTTGCTCAAGTAAATATTTTAAATTCGTTGCTTCCAATGTAAATTTCCAAAATTGTGTTCTAGCAGTTAATGGGGGAAAAAATATACCAGCATTGCTGTTATATCATTACTTGTGTGTTAACAGGTATCTTTTTCTTCCCTGACTGTTACTGTGCAAATTGTGAGAAATTAGTAATGGCTCTCAGTGCATTTCCCTATATATCATCCTGTAATTTCATTACATTGATCACTTTAAACTTTGAGTCTTTGGAATACAACAGAATTGTGGAACAGTCCCACCTTCATGAAGATGAGACCACATGTGCTAGCAAACACAGTTGAAAGCTGGCATGTGGCATTCACATTTCCAGTGCAAGGATGTCACTTGTGTGGATGGCTGTGCAAAACCAGCTCTGAATGTGCAATTTTATTGATCAGCTCTCTGGAAAACCAGTCCAATAATTTTTAGCAAGTTGAACAGATTATGTAAATGCATAACAGTGTGCACCTAGCTGTCTAAAGATTTAAGTAAGGTAAACATGCTGAAATAGAGATTTTGGTTAGAAGCTAAGTAGCTGTTCAGTCAAATCTTGATTTTTTTTTTCTGCCAAGTTTTTTTTTTTTAATTATTATTGAGAAATATACTCTCTTAGTTAAGGCTATGTGCACATATAAGGAGATAGTAAAATAATTAAAAAATAACCCACAACAGTATTGGGTTTGGTTTCAAGATAGATTTTTTTCCCCGAAGTATGCACTTATTCCTAACATTTTCCTGTGCTGAAATACATTCAATACAAGGGAGTTTTTGCTCTTTTGGAGTAAAAGGTGCTGTTGTGTACATTGTATTCTGGCTTATCTTTAATATTTTTCCTTAGTCTAAGTTCTCAGACTTGCAGTTCTCTTAATAATGCAGGTGTTAGCATGACAGGTACTCTGCTGTGTGGTGGCACCCTTAACATGGTAATTTGTGAAATATCACTGTAAATCAGTTGTGTGGTGCTGCCTGCAGGTTGTTTTGCACCAGTCAGAGTCAGCTTCCATGTCTTCCATCCTCTGGGGACTGTCATCAGACAGCATTTCAGAAAAGAGCAGATAATGCAGAATATGAATGAAAAGTTTCAGAGCATGAAAATGATGTTACTGTTGACTTAATACAAGCTTTAAAGAGTTAAACTGGGTTTGCCTTGGCAGGGTAGTTAGTAGCAAAACTCAAGGATGTAGGAAGATGTGTGGGTTGGGGGTTTTGGATGGGATTCTCTGTGCATGTGTCCCAAGGGTAGCAGTAAATAATGTTAGTAGTGTCACAATTAAAAAGAAAGAAAAAGTATTTGGGATACTAAAGTGGCTATTTTACAGCTTTTACTATGTTTAGATTGAGCCTAGCTAAAATGTGAGAAAAGAACTGCTGAAACGAGAAGCCTTAAGTGCAACAAAACCCAAAAATAAAGACTTGCACTTAAGTTTGGCCTGTTTATTGTAGATTTCTGTGATTCTTGTGCCAAAGGAAAGAGTCCAGTGCTACACAGTTCCCAGGAAGGAGATGTGGATTTGGGACTCTGTAGGGAGCTGTTTTCACAGTAATCTGCAGCTGAAGGCAAGAACTCAGCTCGTGTGTGAGTTTAAGGAGATAAATTTGTGGTGTGAAACATGGATTGGATAGAAGACTGCATTTTGAAATACTGAATGCACGTTTTGAAGTACCGATGGAGACTTTGCCATGCAAGGGAGAGAATCCTGTGACCCCCACAGGAGGGGGTTGCACACAGACATGCACACACTCCCACGCTGCTGAACTGGTTGGCACAGACTTGAGCAGACTTGTGCTGTTTTATATAAGGGTTCTCAGCATGTTGCCCAGGATTGTGAGGGTACCATGAAATAAAACCATAAGTACTTTAGGGAAGAAAATAGCTTGAAGCCATTATTTGCTACAGAAATTCCATTATGAGTTTTTCATGTGAAGTTTGTCAGCTTCTCAGATCTTTTAGTCTCATTTTTGAAAGAAGCAAAGTGCATTAAGGCAGGCACAAACCCATTGTCCCAGGTGTGAGCTGACCAGAGGACACAGAGCCACATTAGGGCATCTGTCTGACTGTCATAACTTACCCTGCATGTCCCTGGCTCTGTTTGCTCAGGCCCTTGCCTGGTATCAGCCATGGGAGCACAATTTCCATGTGGGCTGGAGCACAAATAGAAAGAGCTGAGGCTGGTGTGAGCAGAGCAAGTCTGTGAACCTCCAGCAAAATGTAAAACCAGCCTGGAATGCCTGACTTGGGGGAAATCTAATAATTTGTTTGTTTTCGTCATATACTCTTAAGTGCTTAAATGAAATGCAGGGTTGTTGCCTGATTTATTGTTACATTATTTGACACAAAAGCTTAATGTAGGTGAAACAAACACCTTTGTGCACAGACTTCTGACTTTTGGTGAAACAGCAAGGTGTGTGCATGCACCCTCTGTTA